CTATTAGTTTATGAAGTTGCGAATATGAGGTTTTGAGGAAAACTATTTTAAACACTTTCTACGTTTGTTAATTTTAGCAACACATCTTTGAAATGTTCAGCTCGAGAATCGTTTGATTTCACGTCCTGGTATGATGCTTGTAAGTAACATTATTTATCAGTTTTGATTTTTTCTGTTTTTAAAGGTTTACACCTAATGCTAGAGTTATTTCTAGCAGTGTAACACAATGTTATTAAGATTCGTAGAATAATAGGTGTAGACTTGCTTCTTTCTAAGATAACTTGTGAGACACACGATAAAATATAGATGATAAATTTCCAAATTATATTGTTTTAATACATTCTAAGTTAGTAATTTAACTCTAGAGAAACAGTATTTCAACTCTCAGAATGACCGAAATACGTTTTATTTAAAGTTTAGAGGTGAAACAAGTTGATAATTAACATGATAAAGATGCCTACCTCACTAGTACGTACATTTTCCAACTTCCTAAGTAATATACAATCGCTATTTAATATTTAATTGCTGTGTATAGATAATGTACCGTTCATGATAACAAATAAACAAATGATGAAAAGGTTATCTATAAAGAAACGTTTAGGAAAATAACTCTATTTTGTACACAACTTGCAAAAACTCATAAAATGTCAATTCAAGCATTCTTTTTTCATATATGTATTCTGTATCTCAAAAACAGCGATGTTTAAAAAAAATATGAAAATATTTTCGACTTCGTGTTATAAATGATATTCTTCTCCTTTATGAGCGGTAAAACCAACTTCATTCTATGAAATATTTTTGTTTATTTGATTCTAATTAAACTACACAATGCTTTGCCCACCACAGGTATCGAAACCCGATTTCTGGTGTCGTAAGTTTACAGACATGCCGCTGTGTCATTGGGATCGCTATAAAATATAACATTACATTAACATAAAATCTTAAACTCACTGTATCTTTGGGAAAAACTCATTTAGTATGGTATTTTATTTACTTAACACTAGGTGACTGGTTCCAAAGATAAGATAAAGCTTCAAAGTAGACAGTTCTGTGTTTTCAACTTGAAATAAAACTTACGTTTATATTGTAAACAAAACAAAACCTGTAAGATACTTGTAATATTTATTACTTGAGGAAAAAGCTGATGGTTTATTCTTTTCTGTTACGAACGTGAGACAATATCAATGCCAAACTAAGCCGATATACCTGATCCTGTTGCATCCTTTTGTTGAAGGTCAGGCATCATACTAGAGAAACATTTAAAAAGATAGAAACGTAATGTTTTTGACCGAAATATAGTACAATACCTAAGCTCAGTGATATTGTTTTGTATTTTCGTTCTTGTGCAGAACGAGAATTAAACAGAAGCGATTTTTTTGCCCTTTGCATCTTTGTTTATGTTTTATGTTTCGAATTGAGATCTAACGAGAATCATTCAGGTTTTAAATATGTAAAAATGTACTGCTGAAATTATATACTAGTAGTCAAACATAGAGTAATACGGTGATTTTTTGTTTTTTGCAGCTTGCCGCTACGAACGATGAAGGAATGTGAAAGAAACGAGTCTGTTTTAGAATGCACTTCAATTATTGTTTTATGCACCAGACAAATAATACAAATATAAATATTAATTGCAGGGTCAAAAGGTATTAGAAATAATCTCTTGTATACTTTAAACATATATTAAAATGATATTGTATCACTGATTGTATTGGTATTGGTAGTGTATTTTTTTCAATGGAGAGAAAACCAAACTTTTCCAACATTTCTTTTCTTATATCCCAAGAGCTAATTGCTGTATATTTAGTATGACGCATTTCACTTTATCTAAAATCGTTAACGACCTTACTAGAGTGTATGAGTAATTTCACAAATACTAAAGTAGCTTATATACTCTTGAGAAACATAACGATTCTAAGTAATTTGGGAATAAGCTTGTGAATTTTACAACAACAAAAAATCTTAAAACATTAAGGTAAATTTATTGAAGAAAATAAAATGGATGTTAATGTGAGCAAAATTCCTGTTTTCAGTCACGTAATAGAAATCATTCAAATTTAACTCGCATAACCAACAGGATTTTCTTTTAACGTTCACTTGATGGTTCAGAGTTAAGTTTACAGACTTACAACGCTTATATCCGGGGTTAGATTCTCTGGGGAAAAAGGTGCAGATATTTCATTGTTTAGCCTCGTTCTAAAAACACTACGTCAACAACTTTTTACCAACACAAGTAACACACACTCACAAAACAAACCCAATTAACCCGTTTTTATTTTGGGGGATTTTTTTCAGCTATTATTATTGTTCTTCTGTATTTTGCTGTGAAAATAATCAGACATACGCATATAACTGAAATATAATTCAATAAATGATGGATTAAAAATACATTATCTCGTGCTGTGTTACAAACTCATACAACAACTTACAATTTTGTAAGACTATAAGTTATTTTGGGGTTGGTGTAGTAGATAATTGTCTCTAAAGTAATGAAAAAATAAATTAA